CTGTTGTCTATTGAACACTCAAGTCCTGATCACCATTTTTGGTATACTGGTGACTGTCGTGCTGTGATGTTGTAGCTACACCATTGGGGTTTGATCCCCTAGTGAAGAATATGTTTGTATGATTAAAAATTGCTTCTCGGTTATCTCCGGGTGTCTCTATCTGGAGGACAGTGGTTCTACCTTGGATTTTTGGTGCACCTTGTTGGGAAACCTGTTCATGGTATAAGTTGTAGTTAATTATATCCTGATATTCCTGTAAAGATTCAGAGTGGGTTCTATTGTATTGATTCCTTCACATGTGCTCCTGAAGGATTTCCGAAATGTGTTGAGCTGACATGGGATTAAAGTTTGGAATCTATACCTTGTTAACCACTAAGTGGAAAGTATTTTTTAACCACTTCATGTCCGGACACTTTCACCTCCCTCCTGCCCAGGCCAATTTTCAGCTTTCAGCGCTATCACACTTTGAATGACAATTACGCGGTCATGCAACACTGTACTCATATGAATTTTTTTTTTTGAGACAGATAAAACTTTATTTTGGTGGTATTTATTCACCACTGGGATTTTTTCTTTTTTTGCTATATAAATGGAAAAAGCCCAAACATTTTGAAAAAAGTGTTTTTCTTATAAACTTTTGCAAATAAATAATCTTTCTTCATAAATCTTGGCCAAAATGTATTCATCTACCTTTTTGGTAAAAAAAAAAAAAATAACCCAAATTAGTTTATAACCAAAAATTATTTTTTTAATTTTTGTTTTTTTTTTAACATACCGTCACCCTAGCACCATAGTGACACTGTACTACTTGTGGGGGTGATAAAGATTTCTTTTTATTTTGATTGCTTTTACACCCATAAAGGCTGTAAATGCAATAATTTCTCCTACTCTCTGGCTGCATTCTTGCAGGCATTGAGAAATACTGTGCGAGCTGTGATTGGTCACAGCTTGTCACATGGTACAAGGCTGTTGTGAATAGCCTTGTACCATGTGTTCTCAGATTTCACTAGTAGTAAGCAATGATGTCAGGAAGTGACATCATTGTTTACTACTATTCATGTGATCACTGATTGGCCAATCAGTGATCACATGAATCGAGACCTCACACAGAGGTCCTGTACAGCGATTGGTGTTCTGCTGTGTCCAGAGGACACAGCGGGCACTGGATTGCGATGTCACGCACTCCCAGGGAGCACGCACAGGCAGTGAATGCGGAAGCCGTTTATAAACGGCCACCCTCTCCTATACTGCTCCCGTCTGGCCGTTTATGTACATTGGCTGGACAGGAAGTGGTTAACATGTGTTTGTATATGTTTTAAATGTAATTTAATAAAATTTGTTTTGATTTTACTCAGTTGTCTTCTATATATATGTCCATATAGAGTCCTATAACTACATAATGTTGTTAAAGTATACCCTCACCAGCCACTTTATTAGGTACCTTGCTAGTACTTGCCTTCAGAACTGCTTTCATTCTTCATGGTATAGATTCAACAAGGTGTTGGAAACATTCCTCAGAGATTTTGGTCCATATTGACATGAGTTATTGTTGCCTTTCCATCATCTGGAACCAGTCTGTCCATTTTCCTCTGACATCAGCAAGGCATTTTTTCATCCACACAACTGCCACTCACTGGATATTTTCTCTTTTTCGGACCATTCTCTGTAAACCCTAGAGATGGTTGTGCGTGAAAATCCCAGATCAGCAGTTTTTGAAATACTTAGACCAGCCCATCTGGCACCAACAACCATGCACATTCAAAGCCACTTAAATCCCCTTTCTTCCCCATTTTAATGCTCAATTTGAACTTCAGCAAGTCGTCCTCCCCACATCTAGATGCCTAAATGCATTGAGTTGCTGCCATGTGATTGGCTGATTAGCAATTTGTGTTACCAAGTGATTGAACAGGTGTACCTAATAAAGTGGCTGGTGAGTGTATATAATGTTTAGGGACATGGACATGTAGCACACACAGTCTAGGCTTTTATCTGTGTATAGATATTTTGGGGGATGTTTCAGGCAGGGGAAGGTTACGTTTTTAGGGGTTGTTTGGATTTTTGTGTTGCTATTATCAAAGCCAAACTCCAAGTAAATATTTTTTACTTTTTTTTTTGCAGCAATCACTAAAAACAGGCCTGAATTTTTTTTATTTATTTTTTAATAACCAAATACAAAAAATATATCTACATTTTTGTTCTTTCACAATACCAGCAAGCATCCTACACACCAAAACGGTTTCTGGTAAAAGCTGCCATCTTGAATCTTTCACAGTTTGAAACCGTAACCTATTCTTATAGGAAAAACGATAACCACAAATATGATTTGTATTGCTACCAAATAACAAACATAATCTGAAAGGTAAAACTAAAAAAGACTACCTCATTCAACAATAAATACATCAGACATGATTGGACAGACATTTTCCTTAATTTGGTAAGACATGTCACATGATCACATGCCATCAAGGCAACAAAGCTTAATTGCGTCTTGCAGAAACATGACCACAAATATAGGAATGTATGTATATTTTGCAGCAAAGCCTTGGAATGGGCCAATGGGCTATTAAAAAGATTAGAAATTTTCTAGCAGCCGAGAGAAAACAATTCCTGCAGGATCCATTCTTCAGACACATAAATATATATAAATTATTATTACAAATTTAAAATTTCATACCAAAAATTTGGATACAAAAATATATAAATACAGAAAAATACAAAAGCATTCTGGTTATCCAAGTAAGATCAGTGCTTTAGTTAAGAGAAGAAAACCATGATCGACTAGAGTAATAGCTATCCAAAATGTACCACGGTGTTGTAAAAAATTGTATAGTACCAAAGAGGTAATGTGGTCATGCGTTGGAAAGAGGTTAATAATTAACAGAACTCCATGTCTCAATTTGTTATTTTTATATAGACCATTAATCTCCTTTATTTTTATCTGGATAAGGGGAAATATTTTTAGGAGAATGAGTAATAAATATGAGGGTTCCTCAAAAAGTTTCCGCACTTTTTTGAAACTCTAATATAAAAATGTATATAAAAAATTGCATAGTACCAAAGATATAGATATGGCCATGGGAAGGAAGCATAACGTCTTGTTCTATTTTTATCAGGATGAGAGGAATCATTATAGGAAGATGAAGGAAAATAGGCTAGAGTAGCCTGTCCCAAACTTTTTAACTCAGAGGAACCCTTGAAATATCTTGGAACCCCAGCTAAAAATTAATAAACTGCATCAGTTGGGAGAATATCCATTATCTTGAGGGCCACAGGGAAGAATGCTCCTCTTACAGTGATGAACAAAATGTTACCCTTACAGACAGCTGAAAAATAACTGGTATGCCAATTGGTGTTGGCCCTGGAATTATGAAGGTACCATCGTAAGGAAAGTCATTACACCTCAGCTCAAGGAACCCCTACTAAACCTCTGGAGGAATCCTGGTTGAGAATTGCTGGGGTAGAGTAATAGGTATCCAAAATGTATCACACTGTTGTAAAAACTGCATAGTATCAAAAACATATATATTATGACCATGGGTAGGAACCAGAGGTTATAAAGATTTTTTTTGTTCTATACACAATATATAGTCCTTTTTTGTTTTATGGATGTGAAGGAAATATTTTTAGGACAATGAACAAAAATAGGCTAGAGAAGCCTTTATTATTTTTAAACCAGAGAAACCCTTGAAATAATAGGTCACGGGGAAACCCAGCTTAAATGAATCAATCAAGGCCAGTGGTAAGAAAGTCCCTTACATTGGTGGTCATTGGGAAGAATTGCCTCCCTTACAGACAGCTAAAAAAGATACTTGGGTCATGCTGATGGCTCTGCCTAGAACTATGCAGGTACCATTAAGGAATAGGTCAATTAGCTACAGCTCACAGAACTTCTAGCAATCTCTGAAGGAACCCTGGTTGAGAATGGCTGGGCTAGAGTGATAAATATCCAAAATGTACCTTTGGATTAACAGATTTTAAGACTGATTTAAGATCTGACCAGTGCTTCCAGGCACTATGCTAGTTCATCTCCCAATTCATTATGACAAGTTTCACATGCAGGACCACCTATAGATGACTGAAGTGCCCTATGACTGCCATTCATGTGAAAGACTAGACTCCTTGTCAGGCCATACTCCTGATAGAGGAAACCTGTTATTGAGCACAATAAAGGGGCTGACACAGCAGCCCTACTTCTGAAAATGTCAGATGTCTGACTTTTTGCTTGGCCATTGACTTCAATGCTTACTGATTTAGGGACCTCAAACAAGTATGCAGATGAGAGGTTCTGATTAGGCCAGTATACCAAAGTGTTGACATAGTTAGTTAGGCCTCTAGTTTTTGGAGAAGGTCAGCTTTGGCAGCCTCTGTATTTCTTTTAAAACAAGGTTGCTTTAAGGGTGTGAGCAACATTCAAAGTGATCTTTGATTGGCGCCTGTGCCCAGAGGCCGACCTCCCGTATTCACAATGCAGCCTCTTGACACGGGACTGGAAGCAAGTGAAGATCATTGAAGTAGTGGTGTCTACTACAGTGATCTCCAGCTTGCAGGGGTATCCTATAGGTATGGTATTGGTATGTACATAGTTACATTGGTCCAAGCTGGACCATGAGAATCCGCTACTTGTGGAAGGGTCCTGAACATACATGGTATTCCTAGATATTGTAGAAAATGGAAGGGTACAGATGTTGAGATAAAGGAGGTACAAGTTTTTGCCACTTTTATTGAGACTGATGGCCTGGAACACACCCTGCCTTCCTCCATCTTTTTCTTGGCACCAGTTGCTCTGAAGATAATTTCCTACAACCAATACAGGGCCAATAAAGACTGGTCCATTGGACTGGGGATGTCTTCTATAGCAATCCAGAGGTTTTGTACCACATGGGGGCTCTACCTAGAAAAAAAGGAGTGCAGATGCTTCTAGAAATTTCAACTACACCATTCATTCACAGCTAATATTTGGGATTGTGCAATTAAAATATTATCTAAGGCTCTGCTGGTCCCTAAAAGAGGCAGGAACCGCGAAGACTACGCTTCATGCTGAGGTCCATGGTCAGAGATCGGCACATTCGTTTGCTGGTTATTTTCATTTCTTTGGCTGATTCTAGTGCCCGGCTTAAATCATCCAAAGCCAAGATGTCTGAAATGGGGGAAGGAGCCCTTGAAAATGAAGAACGAACATCAGCGACATTATATCCAGCAGGAACATAGATGCCAGGTGGAGTGCTGTATCTGAAGAAAGGAAACAAGGAAATCAAGGTGAAACAAAGGCTGAAGCAACTGTGACAAATCAAATTAATTAATGAGACACTTGTACCTTGGCCATTCCTGACCAATTGACAAGTTTTCTTTAAAGCCAAAATATTTAAAATTTTGTTCATCCACTCTCATGATTCCCTTTGTCTTCCAAATGTTTATAGTGGTGACCTAACTTTTTTCTGTCATAGTTAAGCAGTTCAGGTTGGTCACCTACCCACTGTCAGTCTTCTGAATTAAAAGGTAGCACACTGTCTGTTTTATTCCTATACCAACCCCCCCTCTCATTATTAGGCTTCCAGTGTCATTTGAACATAAATAGCTCCTACTGATGGTTCAGTCAGAGGCATAATATTTGATTAGAATTTTATTAGAAAGTCGTTGTTTTTGAAACGTTCATTTGATTTTTTTGATTGTAAATGGGAACAATTGACTATCACTTAAGACTGTAGTATTTTTTTTCTTGATTTTCCTTATCTAAACAAACACATTTCTAACTGGTATTGTGGTCCTTGGTTGGGAAAAATCGTACTTAAATAGCCTGCGTTTGGAAAAACACATTCAGAATTTAGAATTTTCATGGACATTTTGTTCCCCTGCTTCTTTTGACAGTGTATGTATGATATAGGAATGTAGTAGGAAACAATACAAAGTGGGGGATCAGGAAGATTTTTTTTTTTTTTTTGTTTCCTTGCTGGAGCAAATTGAATCATAATTTTTATAGGGGTTTTTTGGATTCTTCTGGATCAACTGTTTAGGATTGTTTATATGGAGGTTTTCTATCTGTTTTTATTATTGTCACAGATTCTCACCGCACATGCACGCCCACGGCGACTAGCTAACCGAGGCGTGCACGTCCGGCCGTGACTTGGGGTAAAGAGGGAATGAGGGAGACTTCCTTTGAGCATATAAGACTGGCCGTGATACGCTTTCACAGCCCGCACTGCCTCTGGCCACCACTAGAGGGAGACTCTACTCCAATCCATCTGGCTGATCACACACAGGCAGATACAAATCTTATATACAATCTGGTGCACTCTAAGGGTTGGGGAGCAGTCTAGCATTTGGCACACCCTTCTAGGATTCCTCCAGCTATCCTACAAGCTAGAACCCCGGTGTTAATCACTCTTCCCCTGTCCACACCCCCCCAAACCAGACACACAACAAACGGTAACTTTCCACCACCCAACAGTTTGTCCGCAGACTGGTCTGCTGGGCCACCACACACACACACACAGATCTCCGTCTGGCAGATCTGCTGCTTTAAAATCTGCATGCAATCTGCCAACACGCAGTGCAATTGCATACAGATTGGCAATAAACTTGACCGAGCATATATAGACACTGCAATAAAATACAATCTCTCTGGAGATCTGAGCCCGAGCTTAAGTACCCAGAAGTCACTTATTAATTTTACGATTTAATATCCTGAAAGTGGGCAGTACATAAAATATGTACAAAGAAAAAAACAATTACAGAAAATACAAAAAAAGACACACAATCGACTATTCACTGTAAAATAAAAGGGAATAAAAACAGAAATAAAACTTTTACCAAGATTTATCCTGCCACTGGAGCACGTCCGTGATTCACCAGTCAAATAGAACCGGCTCCGTACGAATCACCCCGTCTATATCTCAGGGTCCTCAATTTATTGAAATATGGACGTAGGCTGGACATTAGCCCTTGGCCAGTCAACCCTGGGGGGCGATCCTGTACCAGCCCACAGGACGTTCTGGGTTCTAAAGTGCCCAAAGTCGACTGGACCAGGAACAGTTTGAATCATCAAGTCAGGGATAGAATTTCCGACACCAGCGCATCAGTCCGATCGCGACAGTACCAATCACTGTTCAGCTGTTGCAATCAGGCGCCATATAACCGTTTTCTGTGTTCCTCTGGGATTCCACAGGGGCTACAAATACAGTTTTACATGCAGATGTAGCCCACAGAGTGTCCAATCAGAAGGAAGTATTTTCATCTCTCTGCAACTACTATTTTAGCTTTTATGAGAGATGAAATATTTTCCTTTGACCTGTGGGTATATGTCAGAGCTGGCAGACAGATCGGAGCCACTCCTGCGAGGCATGGTTCACATCAGACAGTGCTTCTTGAAACCAGTAAACCCAAAACAAGTGTGTGATTTTTAAGGGCAGGACAGCTGTCAGCAACACATCCAATATCATCACACTGATTGGAGTCAAGGTTGGCTCACTCCTGGCTCCAATTAGCTCTGGGAGAAGTCATTAAGCTAGGGCCTCACATACTGTTTCCTCCACCATGGCAACATCTAATGTTTGTGTAGTATTATGTTCAGCAGACTGTGTTCTTCTATTGTTGTGACTTAGGTGACGTTCAGAGCACATTTTATGCCCAATTCATGCAAAACTCCACGTAATCCCAAGGGGTTCACATACTTTTTCTTGCAACTGTATATATAGATAGATATGTGTGTGTGTATATACAGTGGGGATCGAAAGTTTTGGCACCCCAGCTAAAAATTTGTATTAATGTGCATAAAGAAGCCAAGGAAAGATGGAAAAATCTCCAAAAGGCATCAAATTACAGATTAGACATTCTTATAATATGTCAACAAAAGTTAGATTTTATTTCCATCATTTACACTTTCAAAATAACAGAAAACAAAAAAAATGGCGTCTGCAAAAGTTTGGGCACCCTGCAGAGTTAATATCTTGTACTGCCCCCTTTGGCAAGTTTCACAGCTTGTAAACGCTTTTTGTAGCCAGCCAAGAGTCTTTCAATTCTTGTTTGAGGTATCTTTGCCCATTCTTCCTTACAAAAGTCTTCCAGTTCTTTGAGATTTCTGGGCTGTCTGTCACGCACTGCTCTTTTAAGGTCTATCTATAGATTTTCAATTATGTTGAGGCCAGGAGATTGTGAAGGCCATGGCAAAACCTTCAGTTTACGCCTCTTGATGTAATCCCCCGTGGATTTCGAGGTGTGTTTAGGATCAGTATCCATTTGTAGAAGCCATCCTCTCTTTAACTTCAGCTTTTTCACAGATGGCATCAAGTAACCATCCAAAATTTGCTGAAAGTTTATTGAATCCATTTTTCCTTCTACTCGTGAGATGTTCCCTGTGCCACTGGCTGCAACACAACCCCAAAGCATGATTGATCTAACCCCATGCTTAACAGTTGGACAGAGGTTCTTTTCATTAAATTCTGTGCCCCTTCTTCTCCAAACGTACCTTTGCTCATTCCGGCCAAAAAGTTCAATTTTAACCTCATCGGTCCACAGAACCTGTTTCCAAAATGCATCAGGCTTGTCTATATGTTCATTTGCAAAGTTCAAACAATGATTTTTGTGGTGAGGACGTAGAAGAGGTTTTATTCTGAAGACTCTGCCATGAAGACCATATTTGTACAAGTATCTCTTTATAGTGGAATAGTGTATCACAACTCCAGTGTCTGCCAGATCTTTCTGGATGGATCGTGCAGTCAAACGTGGGTTTTGAATTGTTTTTCTCACAATCCTGCGAGCTGTTCTGTCTGATATTTTTCTTGGTCTTCCAGATCTTGCTTTAACTTCCACTGTTCCTGATGACTGCCATTTCTTAATTACATTCCGAACAGAGGATATTGACATCTGAAAACGCTTTGCTATCTTCTTATAGCCTTCTCCAGCTTTGTGAGCGTCAACTATTTTCAGTTTCAGTTTTCTAGACAACTGCTTAGAAGAACCCATGGTGCTGATTGTTGGGGCAAGGTCAGATGAGTCTGGGCATTTAAAACCTTTGAGCTTGACATCACCTGGTCTTCCCAGACGATGATTGAGAACAATCCATGACACTGGCAGGTCTCAGCTTTGCAAAGGGGGCAGTGCATGCTATAAATTCTGCAGGGTGCCCAAACTTTTGCAGACGCCATTTTTTTTTGTTTTCTGTTATTTTGTAAGTGTAAATGATGGAAATAAAATCTATCTTTTGTTGACATATTCTAAGAATGTCTAATCTGTAATTTGATGCCTTTTGGAGATTTTTCCATCTTTCCTTGGCTTCTTTATGCACATTAATACAAATTTTTAGCTGGGGTGCCCAAACTTTCGATCCCCACTGTATATGTATGTATATATATATATATATATATATTTCAATGCGTTTGGGGGGGAAGGATTCCCTCCTCATTTTTGTCGATAGGACACACTAGTCTCAATTCAGGCCTTCTATGTTGTTTCAAGTGGATTGTATTACAAATCCCAGAAGAGGGGAGAGGACTTTTACCCCGAAACGCATTGGAGTATCTGATGTTCTTCAAGCGGAGGACCAGTCAAAATAATGAAAAAAAAAGTCAGCAGCTACAAAAACTGTAGCTTCTTTTAAAAAACAGACACTCACCTGTCCTTTGATCCTGCAGTGTCCTCACACCGGCCAGGTTCACTGGCCATCCTGTGTCCCTGGTGCCGGCATCTTCAGTGTGAGCACCCAGCTGTGACAGCCATGTGCTCACTGCACATGCGCGAGTAGCACTGTGCTTTGCGAATGATCCCATAGTCTTCTGGGACCTGTCATGTGTCCCAGAATACTAAAGGGAGAGTTGGCACAATTCTACTTCCAATTGTCTAGGTGGTTGCAGCAAAAGGGGGAGCGGGTACCTGTTGTCAAATTCAGGTACCCCCTCCCTCTTCCCCACTTCCCAAAGGTGCAAATCCTTAATGGGGAGCGGAGCCTTAAGGAGGAACTTCCCCTTTTGGGTGGCGCTCCTTTTTAACATGTAATTTTAAATACATTTGTAAAAAGATGGAGAGCTGTAATAGGCGCTCCTAACCACACACCCAAACGTTGTTCACTTGTTGAGCAATTTGACTATGGTGGCTAGCCTAGGTTCGGATTTAGGTACCTATCTCCACCATAAATTAAACTTTGGCAAGAAAAATTAACTTTATAACTTAATGATCTGAATTAATTTCTACTCCCATCAGTCCATTGCTATCACACACCTATCAGAATACAATAGCTGGCTGTGGGAGATTTGTTCATCTGCGTGGCTTAGCGTAGATGAAGGATTCTGTGAGATTTCTTTTGCTTAGCCTCCACCCTGATCACAAGACCTCTATCCTTTGTATGGCCAGCTTTGTAGGCATATACTGGTTAATAAATGGTCATCGTAAAGTGTCATGTCTTTCTGAACTGTCATAACATGATTAACTCACATGACGGGAGGGCTGTAAGGCACAATGGGAGGGGGTATGTAGCCGACCGGAGGAGGGTGACTCGTATACCAATGCTGGCAATGTTGATGCCTCCGATGACGCCTGTGTTCACCATCAGTCATTTCTGTAGGAAAAATAATAGAAATGGTAGACCTCTGTTGATGGAAAAATATACGTATATTTGCAATGTAGGGACTGCAAAGAATCAGCCCAACCAAAACCCCACTGTAAGTAGAAGCTGGAAAGTTCAGCTACCTCTCCCTTTTAAAGGGGCTCTGGAGGAGTTTACAGCAAAGCTTTACCCATAACAGTTTGATAAATAACAAAAAAAAAACATTCTTCATTAATAATTATGCTCCCAAAATGAATGTGTGCTGTAAATTGCCTCCAGCATTGCTCCAGTTTCTTCTTGTTGGAGACCGGCATTTTGTCGAAACCCACAGTAGTCCCTTTCATATTGGAAACTCTCCCCCTCTTCTTGGTCTTAAAAATTTTGGCACTTTCCACAAATAAAAGAAGCAGATTTCCAGCCTTAATTGTATGTATTGACTCAGAGGAAGGCTGACAGAAGCTTTACAGTGTTTGCAGGCTGCTCAGGAAGGAGAAAGAGAATATCAGGGAGATAGAAACTATCCTTGTAAGTTTAAACTCTTTCGTGTCTCCCTGGCCGCAGAGTTTGTCCTGTCACCTCTCCTGATTTTCTCTTCTTGTCACCCAAGCAGTGTTCCCTCCGCAGTCTGTCATTCCTGTTTCTTCCCCCTTCAGCAAACGTAAATCCTAAAGCTGCCTGCTGATCGGCCTCTAGTGGGTCTGGTTTTAGGCACAGTGCTGAGAATAGACCGCAACTGAGCATGTGTAGAGGAGGGTGAAACCCTGCAATACTGGATTTTAAACAGAATAGGAACCTATTTTGAACATTTTAAATAGCTATAACTGTAAAAGGGACCAGCCTGAAGTCATCTATCCAGACTAAATTTTCTTCCTCAAAGCTCCATTTTAAGGAAAACTGTCCTGAGACAAATAGGCTGCCAGAACTGATCAACATCTACATTGATTGGCTAGCTGGCTGGTGGCCTTGCTGATTCAGAGTCTTCTATTCTTTCTGAGTCACCTGGAACAAGTAAGCATATTATCAGCCATTCTGACTTTACATGTTGCATACCTTTCCTGGATCTGTGATTCAGAAATCTTGACAGCCAGGCTATTGGTATTTTCCAAAGGAGGTCAGTGGTGATCTATTATTTTTCCTTTTCTATTTTATTCTATGGTGAGAGCATGAGGAGGAGTGGTGAAACCCCAAGGTAGATGGCGACACCCAAGGCTCCAAGGTAAGCAGGAAATGCCAGGACGTATGGCAGAGGGTTGTCACCACAAGTTATAACAAAGGTCCAGTATACCCCCTGAGCATAGCTAGACAATTTTTAGGTGGGCTTTGCTTGTAAATTGCTGACTAGGGTTACCTTCGGTGAGAATAATTTCCCTTCCTGTCCCAGTGGCATCAAAAGATGAAATAAAAGGCAATTCATGCCTGATATGGTTTCTAATCCTTCCCCACATTGCCAAAAAATAATGTAATGGTTCCCTCTATCCCCATTAAAGAGATTTCCCATTTCCTGTTCTTGGACACCCTGTCACTGGAACAAGAAGTGTAGGAAATGCTCTATATGGTGGGACATAGACCGCAATAAAAAAAAAAACAGGGAGAGGTTCTATTCCTTTGTAATCTATTCTTAGCTCCCATTCACACTGATGCGACTTGTCATGTGATTTGACAGTTCAGCCCAGTAGCACCCTATGATCTGTAATGGAGCCATTCTAATCGGCGCGACTCGACCGATTTGAAAATTAGGTTCTGCACTACTTTTGCCGTTTTCTGGTGCGACTTGCATTGACATCTACGCATGAAGTCGCAAAGATGTCTTACAAGTCCCACCTGAAACCACACTGACATGCCACTTAGAAATTATGTGACTTCACTTGTCGCACAATATCTAAGTCAGCTTCAATGTAAACCTGGGCTAAGAGAACTATAAGGCTCCATGCACACGGGGTGTTTTGATAACGCTGGTAACGTTAGCTGTGTAAAGTCATGTTAAAAATGTGAGATTTTTAAGGTTTTTTTTTTTTACAGTTTTTGCATTAGCGTTTAACCACGTTTTTCAACGTTAGAGCATTTTTACAGCTAAAAAAACTCCTCTAGAAACCCATTAGTCCTGGGTTTTTTTTCCAGCCAAAAAACGCTGATTACAGTCTATGTGTGCATGGACACATAGGATAACATGCTGGGGAGTTTACTGGCTGTAGAAAAAAAACGGCAAAAGCCAAAAACAGCCGCTGTAAAAATGTCCAGTGTGCATGAAGGCTAAAAGGCTTTGACTGATTTTGGGTCTCTGGCATCCTGTAGTTCACAATCTGGCCCATAGGTGTCAGTGTAATGCTGGTCACAACCAGTTCAGCATCAACTTTTAGTTTCAGGGCCCATTCACATTTTCCAGAGTGCCAACATGTGTTGCATCTGCCTATTCATTTCCTGTAAGTCACAGGAGGGGCATTATGGGGGAGTCTGGAGCTGGGCTATAAGATTGATAATGTATTCTTAAAGGGGTGCTGAACACTAATCACTTTGTAAGCACCTGCAGATGTATTTCTTATAACTCTGACCACTTCACGGTCTAGAATGGTGGTCTCCAAACTGTGGCCCAGGGGCTGGATATGGCCCTTTGTATGCTTTTATCTGGCATTATTCCCCCCCACTGTCATCAACAGGGCACAGTTCCTGCCACTGACACCGACAATGGGGCACTATTCCCCCAACTGACACCAATGCTGGGGCAGTAGTCCTCCCGCTGACGCCAATGCTGGGGCACTAGTCCTCCCGCTGACGCCAATGCTGGGGCACTAGTCCTCCCGCTGACGCCAATGCTGGGGCACTAGTCCTCCCGCTGAATGCTGCCAATGCTGGGGCACTAGTCCTCCCGCTGACGCCAATGCTGGGGCACTAGGCTGACGCCAATGCTGGGGCACTAGTCCTCCCAATGCTGCTGACCTCCCGCTGACGCCAATGCTGGGGCACTAGTCCCTCCCGCTGACACCAATGCGGGGGCACTAGTCCTCCCCTTGACTGACTAGTCCCTCCTGACACCAATGCGGGGGCACTAGTCCTCCCGCTGATGACACCAATGCGGGGGCACTAGTCCTCCCACTGATGACACCAATGCGGGGGCACTAGTCCTTCCCCCAATATCAATGGAGCATTGTTTATTCCCACTAATGCCAGGGCACTTTTTTCTCCCACCAGCCACATGCCTGCCCCCCTAAAGTCTGAAGGACAGTAAACTGTTTAGAAGGTTTGGAGACCTTTGGTCTAGAAAAATACATTTCCCCATCATAGGCTCCTCTAACGACATTCACCCCGCTCTTATTTCTATGAATCGTCCAATCATAGTTCTCCTGCAACCTGTCTTAATCATCCCCATCACCTCCACATATCCCCAAATCACAGCTGACCTCTTCCTGACAATCTCCATTAAATTCCCCCAATACAGGTCACTGCCCTGATCACAACTCACTTCTCTCTGCATAAGTCTATTCACCCCTCCGCCTCATCAATTCTGTACAACACCCTTCATTAACCCCGTCCTCAACACACACATCTCCCCGGCAACCTACAATAACTCCCTTTAACACGAACCCCTTCAAAGTACATTGACCTCTACCCAGCTACATCCACTTCTTCCTTGCCTTCTGCACTGACTCATGATCACTTTTTCCCTGGACACCTTTGCTGAAGATTCCATTGGCAAGAATATTCATTTATTTTGGCCACTGGAATGAATGAATGCTCAAGCTCTAAATGTGCCTAGTGTTTAGGCATGTTCTGCATTTTTTTTCCACCAAAATGCTCCTCTTCTGAATGCACACTTGATGGGTTTTTTTTTTTTTTGTCCTGCCTCTAAATGCCTATGTGTGCATGAACATGAGTTAATATAGGGGGGCATGAGCCCTTAGTGCGCGCCTCTGGCCCAGCAACCTCCATTCACTCACTCTTAAAGGATAAGTTCACCTTTGGAACATTTTACATGTTCCACAAGTTTTTAGGGTGGAACATTTGTAACATGTTCGAGCATCTGCACCTTTTCCCCCTCCCAGCGACAGTGGACAGGGGATCCTTTCACCATTGGAAAATGGCGTGGCTGTACGGGGCTCTGCTCACCCGGCCGCATCATCTATTCACAGTTTCCTGTAAATGAATGCCTATAAGTACTGTCAGCCATTGTTGGCTGATTGCTTGTAGTTCTCAATGGACTAGGTGGACGCTAATTAGCATTTTTTGTAGTCTATTGATCTTCTTGCTGTAAGGTAACTACCTGCCTGTACTAGGTGCAGGCAGACCGCTATCCTGAGAGTCTGCAGGAGTCTGAGTTTGCAGCCACAACCTACTGATTGAGGGTGCAATGCTCTGCAGGCTCTTTAGAAAAAAAAAAGTACATTTTTTTTTTTTTAACCTGAACTTGGCCTTTAAAAAAACAAAAGCATACAAATTGAAAGTAATTTTTACTCCCCGTTCTCTGCTCACCTCAGCTCGCCAACCCTTATTCAACCCCTCTTACCCCAGGTTTACAGCTAAGCGTTTTCTGCAGTGTTTTGCAGAAACGCAGTACAGTCCATTTAACATTATTTCCTATGAGACATGGTCACATTTCCGTGTCTTCACCCGGTGCGTTTTTTGGAAACGGTTGGGGACTTTTTTGAACGCAAAAAGTTGCCTTTTTGATTCTATAGACTTCAATGGAAATGCTGCAGAAAAGCATGTATTGCATTTTTGCCACCTTTTTGATGCATTTTTGATGCGTTTTGCATTTTAAATCTGCTTAACAACAAGAAAAATGAAAAAAGGAAAAAAAAAAAAAAAAAAACTAAACTCGTCACAAACGCGAGTGCAAAAAAAAAACGCAATGCAGAAACGGCTCAAACGCAACCTGCATAGGTGTGAACTTAGCCTTACTGTAGTACTCTTGCTTATAAGTGCTTTAAATTCCCTGTTCCCCATTCAGCTCTGCTCATCATCCTCCATTCAGCCCTCTCTTACATTAGTACTCCTTGCTTATAAGTCATTTATACACCCTGTTCCCCATTCAGCTCTGGTCATCAACCTCCATTCAGCCCCCTCTTATATAAGTATTCTCCCTTTATAAATCGATTATACACCCTGTTCCTTACTTACCTCTGCTGGTCAAGCTCCATTCAGCACCCACTTAAACAGTAGTTGTACCCTCCCTTTAAAATAATTTATATTCCCTGATCTCTGCGCACCAACTTCATTTAGGCCCCTCCTTATGGTTGTAATTTCATCATTTATACCCCCTGCACTCCTCTGCCTGTCAGCCTCCAATCAGCCCCCCTCTTACATTGGTATTCTTCCTTTATAAGTCATTTATACTCTCCCCCATACTCCCCTCTAATCTTGCTTCTAAAATAAAACTTCTTGATCCCCGCTTCCAATTGCTTGTCAACCTCCATTTACCAACTAAAAAAAAATTTAGGAAATGTCCTTTGGAGTCTTTTTTACATTTCTCACATTTGTAATTGTATAGTTACCATCCACAAATATTCCAAAAACAGACACAATCTCTCATAAATGCTCTTCCTGATCACAAGGAAAATTCATAATTCTACATCCTAAAATAAACTTACCAGTTTTTGGTGCATTATCAGATCCGTTCTCCCTACATAATGGACAGGCTGGGTGTGTAGGAGGGACACTCTCCTCCTCCTTTGATGTTTTCATGGTAACTGCAGAGAACACAATTACGGAATACATCATCATCATATCAAGAACAGGATATAAATGCAAAGTTGCAGAATGTTCTGTACATCATTGCCAGCTCTGGTCACCAAGCCTCAAATAAAGGGTATTCTGCCAGAAGAACCAATTGTATTCAAGTTTAAACTAGTGGAGGGTATAGAATGAGAGGAAGGCTGTGATTGGTTGCTAGCAAAGCCCCGATGTGATTCCCATTGCAATTTTGTAGGGGGAAATTGGCAGCTCATGCAAGCATCTTGCAACTAAAAGGATTTTGCATGGTTGTGGGCAAATATTTTATAAAGTAAATCAGAGGCTAAGATGTCAGTTTCCTTGGCTGTAAGGGAGAAGAGGGTTTAGTTCCACTTTAAAAAATAAGTCTGCACATATGTTTTGGCAGGTAAATTGGTACACGATGTTTCACAGAGGGCACAATAATGAACATAAATTATATTCTATATGTTGTAGTGGTACTGCATATGGGGATAATAGTGACATTAACAAGTCCCTAGAGATGCCATAAAGGATATCCCAGGTCTAAACAATAAAATAAAGTGCAGCGCTAAAAAGGCAAGATAAAAAGTTTGATATAAAATTCGATATAAAAAGTTCGATCAATATAAAATAATCGGTCCGTGAATGTGGAGGACACAACTAAGAGTAATCCGGGAAAATGGCAGAAATGCGCACTCACTCCCGACCGCACATAGGAAATGCGCATGTGTATATCAAATCCTACAGATGTCGTTATCCCCCAGGGAGAGGTGTCATCAATCGATCTGCTGGACTTGTAAAGCCTCCTTAGGATGGAGATGAGTCAACCGGACAGAAGATTCCCTCCAGGTAAAGGCTTCCCTCCTCTGGAAGTAGTATGCAGCTGTGTCTGCTAACCCCTCAAAAGAGGGGCAAAAAGTGGTAGAGTACCCATAGTGTAGTATATGTACTCTCCAGCGCCTCAGGATATGCACAGCCAAAAGGGAAGCCAAGGGTACCAGGACAGTGACAACCAAAAGGAAATGTTCCAGGGGTGCAGCCCTCCTCAGACGGGGAAATCAGCCACTGGATAGAGAGAAAACAGGTGGCGCACACACCTAGTGCATTATCCAAGGTTTATTGTAGGAATTAAATCATAAAAACATACTCACAGACGAAGCATGTATCTAAAAAGCATAGAAAAATGACAATGGCCACAACGGCGGGCAAGGTGTTCTCACAGTCAGTGCGGTCAAATCGCTGACGCGTTTCGGGGACGAATCCCTTTCCTCAGAGCTGATGATCAACCTCTGATGCTGATACACGATGAATGGAAAGTAAAGTAAGAGCCCTGCTGTTGAGGCATCAACAGCGAGGCTCTTACTTTACTTTCCATTCATCATGCATCAGCATCAGAGGTTTGGTCATCAGCTCTGAGGAAAGGGATTCGTCCCCGAAACGCGTCAGCCATTTGACCGCACTGACTGTGAGAACACCTTGCCCGCCGTTGTGGTCATTGTCATTTTTCTATGCTTTTTAGATACATGCTTCGTCTGTGAGTATGTTTTTATGATTTAATTCCTACAATAAACCTTGGATAATGCACTAGGTGTGTGCGCCACCTGTTTTCTCTCTACCCATAGTGTAGTATATCAAGTATTTTATTGGTAAAGCAATAGAATAATACAGGTCGGAAATAGTGTTAACGAGTGCCTGGAAGCACAGTAGAAAAAATGTGTCACTGACCTAAATATACAGTTTGTGGCCAAAATTATTCAACCCCCACTGAAATTGAGTGTTTTGGCCAGTTTGACATTGCTTTTGATCATTCAGTCATCTTGCTTACATTTACATTAAAGAGGCACTTGTAGGTCAGACAAATATAACATAACAGTTATAATGAAATAACCACAAATGTCTTTTCTGTGCTCACAGCATTATCAGTTTTATTCAACCCCCAAGTGACATTCAATCTTAGTACTTAGTACAGCATCCTTTTACAGTTATAACAGCTTTTAAACGTGAAGCATAGCTTGACACAAGTGTCTTGCAGCGATCTACGGGTATCTTCGCCCATTCTTCATGGGCAAAGGCCTCCAGTTCAGTCACATTCTTAGGCTTGCGCACTGCAACTGCTTTCTTTAAGTCCCACCAGAGGTTCTCAATCGGATTTAAGTCTGGTGACTGCGATGGCCACTCCAAAATGTTCCAGCCTTTCCTCTGCAACCATGCTCTAGTGGACTTGGAGGTATGCTTGGGATCATTGTCCTGTTGAAAGGTCCAACGTCTCCCAAGCCTCAGGTGTGTGACGGACTGCATCACGTTTCCATCCAATATCTCCTGGTACTGAAGAGAATTCATGGTACCTTGCACACGCTGAAGCTTCCCTGTACCTGCAGAAGCAAAACAGCCCCAAAGCATGATTGACCCTCCACCATGCTTCACAGTAGGCAAGGTGTTCTTTTCATCATAGGCCTTGTTCTTCCTCCTCCAAACATAGCGTTGATCCATGGGCCCAAACAGTTCTAATTTTGTTTCATCAGTCCACAGAACACTATCCCACAACTTTTGTGGTTTGTCCACATGGCTTTTGGCATACTGCAGTCGACTCTTCTTATTCTTTGGAGACAGCAAGGGGGTACGCCTGGGAGTTCTGGCACGGAGGCCTTCATTACGCAGTGTGCGTCTTATTGTCTGGGCTGAAACTTCTGTACCCACATCTGACAAATCTTTTCTCAGTTCCTCAGCAGTCACACGGGGACTTCTCTCCACTCTACGCTTCAGGTAGCGCACAGCAGTCGAAGTCAGCATCTTCTTTCTGCCACGACCAGGTAGCGTTTCAACAGTGCCCTTTGCCTTGAATTTGCGAATGATGCTTCCTAAGGTGTCTCTTGGTATGTTTAACATCTTTGCAATCTTCTTATAGCCATTGCCCTTCCTGTGAAGAGAAATCACCTCTTCTCTTGTCTTCCTGGACCATTCTCTTGCCTTCACCATGTTTGTAACCACACCAGTAAATGTCTAGAAGGAGCTGAGTATCACAGTCATTTTAAAGCTGCCTAATTGGTGCTTATTATGCTTGATTGCTGCTCGGTGACATCCACAGGTGTTTTCAATACCTGATGGAAAGCACCTGTATGAACCTCTGTTCTTCAGAGTGGTAGTCTTTAAGGGGTTGAATAATTGTGGGCAATGAAGAAACCACATAAGAACCATTTACTACTGTATTACATAAACAATTGATGTCATTTTAGTTGCATTTGGGTAGTTACAACGTCCTTGTAGGATTTGATTCTGAATACAATTCCAAATGTACACTATAGTCCCTAAACCCCTTTACAGCATTGGGGGTTGAATAATTTTGGCCACAACTGTAGCTGGCCGCCAGACCTCGTGGTCTGAGCGGCAATGAGGCGTCACAGGCTGTCAGTTCCTCCTGAGGCCTTTCGTGCTAAGGCACATCATCAGAGGAGAACACTGACAGCTCCGTGACAGACGCCGGGTGTTAAAATAATGAACAGCGGGGAGTCGCGCATGCGCACTAACTCGCCGCCATTTTCCCGAAGAGCGGGCAACTGCGCATGCGCTCGCGGAGAGACGCCATTTTGCCATGGATACACAGAATTGTCAGCCTGAGGCATAACACTCATAGCTGACAGGGCACATTAAAGCGCATTAGGGCCAGAAAGAATGGCTCATGATCCCAGGGGAGGTAAATATGGTAACAATTCAAATTAACACTTGAGTGTATTAACCTCAATCCTCCTCCCAACTGATTCAGCACCTATGCGGTGACTAATAAGGGAAATAGCATAAAAGTGTACCCACGGTATAAAGAAGCGCTCCGAGTGCCAAGATCTTCAATTAAGTATTAACATACAATAAAAAGCAATAATAGTAATAATACACACATAGTAATGTGCAATTAAATGAACAGCCGTTCCAAAGACGGGAATTACTAATATACGGAGTATCTCTCTACTGTTAAAATGGAGCAGAATTAACTGTATATAGAAACACCGTTTGTTAACCAAGGATGATATAAAGATAGCTGAGGTATGATTATGCACAGCCATCTAAGCGTATAAATAAACGCTTGAGTACCACAGATAGTGGTTAATGATCCCAGGGGAATAATGGTAATAATAATGTCAAGACCCCTAGTCGGTGATTCATCACCTGAATTGGTGAGCTTGTGGGGGAAATGATACTAATTCATCCACGGCATGTATAGGTGCTCAAAGTGCAGTGATAAATAATTAAAAGAAATATAGAAATGCATAAATGTACGAAAGGGAATAAATCCTTAAAAATTGCCCATAAAAAAAATCCATAAAATAAGGAATAGGCTAGCATAAAAAATAACATAGAGGAATAGGATAGCTAAAAAATTCATAAAACCAGTATAGAAGCCCATATTCGTCAGTCTTAATAATGTAATCAAAAATGTAATAGAAAAAACGTCACACAGCTTAAAGATAAAGGGTGCTAATTATTAGCTGTAAAGCAATTAACATCAATTTCGATGTTGTGTCCCCTAGGATGTAGGGTATCTAATTCATAGACCCATTTTGTTTTGGCTTGTGACACGGCTCTTGTTTTATTCTGACCTCTCCAGTGTGGTGATATTACTTCAATTCCCACAAATTTGAGAGAGGAGGGGTCACTATTGTGGAACAGCCTATAATGATTTGAGAGTGAATGTTCTCTGTAGCCTTTCTTGATATTGGCTACATGTTCTCTCAAACGGTCACGAAGTCGTCTGGTCGTCCGCCCCACGTACTGTTTTTGGCATGGGCATTGGAGGAGATACACCACAAATTTACTGTTGCATGAGATAAATTGATTAATAGTGTAATTTTTCCTGGTTATGTAAGATTCAAAGTTATTGATTCTGCATTTCCTAATACCATTATATTTACAAATAATACACTTATTACAAGGGTAAAACCCTTTCAATTCATCAAAGAATGTGGTGCCAGACGGGGGTTGATTACGTTAGGAGCTATTTGATGCC